AAAAAATTTATGAAGTTTTTCCGGTGACCTTTAAACTCCTATTCCTTTGGTTGCTTTTCTCTAAAGCTTTTAGTTCCCATATTGTATGTTTTGAAATTTTAACAAAACATCGTTCAGGAAACATATGTGGCTATTTATTTATCAATTACAAGAATTGCTAGAAATTAAATTGGGTTTGCCTTATCTATTGGTTATTGCTTGATTTACTGCCAGCTCATTGAAATGTCGCGGATTCAGTGTTTACGTTTAATTTCCACTAGCATGTTATAAGGAAGTAATATTTCACTTAGATTTTGACAAAAGAAATGTCGATAGGAAATGATCCATTAAATATATTTTCGTTATTGTTGCCTCTTGTTCCTTCTTGTATAATAATTGGTTTGACTTACTAGAATCGAATAAATAAACTTTAAGACAATATTATCTCAAGTACATATAGGTCACAATGAGGGGGGGTGGATGGCTGAATGGTTAGCGTGCGCGCGCTGTATCATAAAGTCTGTCATTGAGTCGACTGCCGTGGTTTCGAATCCCTGGTTGTACGTGACAAGGAGTGGGGTCGCCTGTCCAACCTCGTGGGTTTTCTCCGGGTCCTCCGGTTTCCTCCCACTGCTAAAGACCCCTATGCGCAAGCGCATTATTGAAATAAAATTAAACCATATGTTAGTCCCGAAATGACCTAGTTTGTGTCGAGTGGATGTTATACCCCATATCTCTCTCTCTATCTGTAGGTCACAATGTACACTATGTACCTTTCTTTCCTGGTAGTGGTCATATTTGGATTTATTAATTGTAAAACTAATCACTCGTGTAAAGTTCATGTCAGAAATGTTGATTTATATACCTCTAGGTTGTTTAGTATCACATTAGTTTTTGTGTATAATAGGAGTTTTAAGGCTATAACATTATTGTGTCTTAATATATAGATTCCCTGATATGCACAATTGGTAAACCTTCCACCGATGCAATTTTGACACCCCCTTTCTTTCTGTGTCCGACCCTCCATAAGTTAGTCTCGAAGTCACCTAGTTTGTATCATGTGGATGTTAAACCCCATTTCTCTCTCTCTGCTTGAAACAAGTTTGTACTTGAAAAAGAGTAGGCTCCCCAGGTTTCTGGTCATTGCTAAAGACCAGTAATTTTAAGTGCAAATGAATTATTGAAATAAAACGGTACCATATGATAGTCTTGAAATGATATAGTTGTGTCGAATGGATCCATGGAATATTTCATTAATAATTAACTATCCTAAGCCTTACTAATATTTCAGTCTTGAGTCCAAAGTTTAATTTTTTGTGTACACCATGCTGACAAAGTGGTATGTGAATTCATGTACATGTGAATACATGACATGTGAATACATGACATGTGAATTCATAATACCCTACCATCAATAAGGAACTTGAAATATGAATTTATTTTGCAAAGTCTCATGCGTTATCAAAAATGGCCAACAGTGAAAATTTTGAAGTGGCAGCCCTGGAATGGATCTTAAACCAATTTTAAATCAATTTTTTTTTGTTTTTTTTTTGTAATCACAATTATCTAACGGTTATCTAATGTGATCACATTTCTTGTCAAAAGTTGAACTTGCATGTATGGCTACAGTCAAAATAATAGTGGTTCTTATGATGGGTTTTCAATATTGACAAATTTCAATTTCATCCTAATTACTAAAAATATATTTTTAGGTGCTTTTTAGACATAAAAATTAAAAATGGAACTATATTGATTACATTTAAGGATTAAATTCTTTGAAATTCTTATATGGTATGTAAATATATCGAACGCCAGTCAGTCAGTCCTAACTGATAAATATGTCCCATGGAATGTTTTGAAATTCTACCAGATTAGCATGAATTTTGTGGTTTTTAAAATGGATCGTCTTTGATTCAATGTTGTTCCACAAATAAATGTAAAATTAAGCCAAGAGTATATAATACATTATTAAAGAAATTTAAATATTTCTCTTAATTCAATTTTACCTATGTTATATATTCTAGCCATACAAAAAGCTATTGAATACAGTGCTGATGATATAAGTTTTGTAAAACAAGGATGGATTGACAGAAAGAGAGAGAGAGAAGAAAGAAGAAAAGCAACAGCTGAAGATGAGTTAAAGAAACAACAAGAGAAGGAATTGATTGAAAGACAACAAAGGGAATTGGAGGAACATAGATTGGTAAGGTAGTTCCCCTATCAACTGATCCCAGGATTGATCCTAATGTTGGTTTGAAATAGTTCCTTGGGTTTCTTCTGAGTGGTTTCCCCTGGTCAGTAGTGCAGGACTTGAGCGTCTGGCAAGAAACAGGGCTGTGTCACTTGGATGTAAAGAAAAATTTAGATCCTGTGTACTCCGTAGCATGCACGTAAAATATCCCTGGACAGTTCGAATTCAACAAAAGACTATGCTGAAACTCCACTGTCCTGGAAAAATTTTCCCTGAGTGGTTTCCCCTGGTCAGTAGTGCAGGACTTGAGCATCTGGCAAGAAACAGGGCTGTGTCACTTGGATGTAACGAAAAACTTAGATCCTGTGTACTCCGTAGCATGCACGTAAAATATCCCTGGACAGTTCGAATTAAACGAAAGAGTATGCTGAAATGCCTCTGTCCTGGAAAAAATTTCCCTCATGGTATATGTTCGTCTTCATTAGCCCTGTTGGAGCAGAAAAGTAAGACGTTATGCCCAATTTCTTTTCATTTCATTTGTATACATATAGATATATTTGATGCAGAATAGCTCACAGTTGAAATGTGAATGAATCGCGGTAATGGAAATGGTCTAATAAAACTGGTCCTGTTATGGTATACTGATTGTCATATGTTTTTCCAAAATAATATTTTATTATTCAATAGTTGATACAATGTGATTAAAATACAGATCTATATTTCGTTTCATTTTTTTTATACTTTCGATGGCCTACACTTAATGAAGATCTGACAAGTTATAGCCATAGGTCACGTCAGGGGTCAAAAGACCGACTTATGACCTATGACTCTATGACGTCAGAAATTTGATTAACCAATCAGCATTGATGTTACTAGTGGATTACCCACAGTTCCATGCAAAACACGCCTAAAGCTCGCCGTAACAGACCATTTCATTGGCTTATCCCTGACACCATTTAGAACACGAGTTAAATAACAACTCTTCCAGATCCAAGTGTAGTAAAGACAAGTCAAACAAAATTTTGAACTAAACTAAAAACGAAATGAAATAGGATCTGTGTTTTAACCAGATTGTAGTTGATATATCGTGATAATTTTTTTACAGTCAATCATTTTATTCATTTCCTTTAAATATTTCATTCGTTAAAGATACATTATGGGAGATTAGATAAAGAGCTGGCAGTTCTCACTATAATAGTTAAAAACTAGATAAAAATTTCTTTCAAATTGATCCACTCTGAACCGAGAATTTAGCAATTGAATTTTCGGCCTAGCTTTGTTCATCATTACTAAAGTCTGTATGATAAAAAACATACATGTAGTCTTGATGATCCATTTCATGTTTTAATCATGAATGAAAGTTGAGCAGTAAATCGGATCCTATATATAGCAGGTTAGCAATGACATCAAGAGTTGATTATGGTCTGGATAAGTTAGTTAATGTCTAATTAATAATTTAGATAACATTTCAGGCCTAAAGAAAGAACTGCAATAGGCAGATTTAGCTCTTGCATAATAATGTATGTTTGATTGTCAAAATTTTGTTAATGCCACTGCAGATAAAAGAGAACAATTGTCACATAACTAATAGTTGTTAGGTCGACCTTTTCAAATAATAATAACCTATAAAACCCATTGTTACTTCCTATATCTTTTGTTCATTTCTGAATATTTTTTAAAATTAAAAAAATGAACTTCTGTAATATAATACAGCATTATATAATATGTGTTTCACCCTAATTGGAACATTGCCAAATTTGGTTCAGTGTGACTTTACATATGTACTACCTAAATGCATTTACAATTAAGGAAGCTAAACCATTTTATTCAAAGGCAACTCTAATCAGATTTCATAATTTTTACCCAGTAGATAAATGTTATTTTCATCAAATTACCTGAGTTTTGTCCTCAATTTATTTATAGTAGGAAATTTTGCTAACAGCCTTCCTTGGTTTACTCTTTGCCATGGGGAAAACTTGACTGGATAATCTTAATCTTTCTCAGCCTGCTCTGGGATAAATTTATCCCGTACTGGTTAGTAAGTCAGTGTTATACGGACTTACTAGTGTGCCATGTGATTGCAGTTAGATTTTGCAGAAAGAACCAAAAGATCGAGGCATGGGGACACATGGATACCCATATACTTTAATGTAAAAAGATTTAAAGGAGCTAAATCGCTAATATTTGAGACCTTGAAATTGACCTTGTAATTTTAAAATCAGTTATGAGCGGCGAAATAAGTCAGAAGTCTCAATCGAATGGCAATCTCTAGCCTCTGTTTATTCCAGTCTACACCGAAAGTATTTATTGCACACACTCTCCAGATAAGAATTGAGTTAGAGACTTAGCTACTTTAAATTGAAGATTTTGAATGAAATAAATAGATGCTCTTTCATAAATCTATATATTTTATTCTACTTGTACTTTTTCAAGCTTGAAAAGACATATGGGATATTTGATAATTGGGATAAATATTTTAACAAATATTCTATGATTTATATACTTCAGAGAAATTTACAAGATCAAGAATTGCTTGAAAAGCGTATGCAAGAACTACAATCAGAGAAACTTGTAAGTTACTGTATTTTACTGAAAACATGCACCATTTCTCAACACAGTACCATCTTCACCAGATTGAATTTCAGCTCAGATATCCGAACGTTGATCGTTAATTTTTACCTTTCACTTTGTATTGTCCAAGTCACCACTACTTCTATATGATAACCCTAACCCAATGCTCTGTTACCTTGGAGACCTAGCCTATGCCCACTAGTATTGGCTCATTATTAGGCTATGCATATAGGTTACACAAATTTCAAGACTTGTAATTTCATACAAATGAGGTTTCATGCAACCTAACCAACCTCTCAGCTCTTCTATCATTCCACCTCAAAATCATGAATATTCACCAAAACCTGGCAGGAAATATATTTTCAAACCCATTTCTTCGATTCTACACCAAAAAGTCAACAAAAATCATCATGCAAAAGGGGGGAAAGGGAGCGAAAGACTAAAAATAACTTTCACGTAGAAATATTTGGTGAGCTGTGTCAATCTGCTCCATTTCTGTCACACTGATTTATGCCCCTTTTACTGTACATGTATTTACCCTGGCATCATGTAGCTGTCAGAACAGACGGGTGTCCAGTGGGTGGTGGACCCTCTCCTACTCACGCAGAGTGTATTTTGTACTTGTACATTCATCAAAATAACTTTGAATAAACAAACGTAAGAAAGCATTCCCGCCATTTTAGCCTCGGTCCACTCTAATCCTATACCTGTTTGCATCTAAATGAGCAGAAATCTTGTCTCCGGGTACTCACCCAGATCTCACACTTGATGTTGTCTCCAACTTGTCCCAAGTACCTGAACATGCCCCTGCAGAATTACTAAATTGTGCAAACTGATTACCGGTTACTACTTAATGTGTTAAATTTCCATACACAAAAAGATCAAACCAAATTTGATGAATACATAACATTCAGTCGCCAGTTGTTTGATCAAATTTGTGAACAGTCTACAGGTCACAATTTTTATCCAATTTCAATGAAACTTGAAATATAGGTTTATGACCCTAAGATCTCGGTTCCTTTCGATATTGGCATGTATTGGACTGTAACTTCATGGATTATGGCCCCTGATTGTACGAAAAATCACGTTTTTAGCTTGTGAACACTGTAGAGGTCACAATTTTTATCCAATTTGGTTTAAACTTGAAATGTATGCTTATAATCCAAAGATCTTGGTTCCTTCAATATTCATGCATATCGGAACGTAACTTCCTGAATTATGGCCCCTGATTGTACAAAAAATCGTGTTTTAAGCTTGGGGACGCTATAGAGGTCATAATTTTTATCCGATTTAAATAAACGTATTAATATATCACCGTTACACCTTAAGGACATCTGAGTTCGAATTTCGTGAAAATTGGCCCAAAACTGACAGACAAAATGGCCGCCCTTCGTTCTCAAATAGCGTAAGTATAGGGTATATCAAGGTTGTGGACCCTATAGAGGTCACAATTTTTATCCGATTTTGTTGAAACTTGAAATGTAAGTTTATAACCCAAAGATCTTGGTTTCTGTCGATATTCGCGCATATCGGACCGTAACTTCATGAATTATGGCCCCTGATTGTACGAAAAATCACGTTTTTAGCTTGTGGACCCTATAGAGGTCATAATTTTTATCTGATTTAAAAAACCGTATTATTATATCACCGTTAAACCCTAAGGCAACTGAGTTCGAAATATGGTATATCAAGGTTGTGGACCCTATAGAGGTCACAATTTTTATCCGATTTTGTTGAAACTTGAAATGTAAGTTTATAACCCAAAGATCTCGGTTCCTTTCGATATTTGCGCATATCGAGTTGTAATTTCCAGAATTATGGCCCTTGATTGTAGGAAAAATCACTTTCGTTTTAGCTTGTTCTCTATCCATCTCTGAAAATGTGGGCGTATCCTGCCTGGCAGCCGCTGGTTAAAACTTACTGAACTAGTTCAACTATTCATAGACATGATCCTTAACAAAAATTCAAGGCCGTGCATCAATTATTCACTGAGTTTATGCCCTTGACTTTAAAAACTCAGAGATAACCTTTATTAGTTGCTGGTGGGTATGTTTTGTTGCCAGGCAACCTATGTTTTCTTTATTAACAGGCACGAGGTGAGATCGAAGCCAAACTGAAAGATGAAGAAGCTTTAAGATTAGCTGAACAAGAAAGATTGAGAGAATTGGAAGAAATAAAGAATCAGTTAGAAAGATTGTTAGAAGAAGAACGTCAGGCCAAAAGAGATGAAGAAATTGTCAGAAATCTTCAGGCCAGGTAAGATGTTGTTTAAAGATACATTATGTACAATTTATATAAAGAACTGACCATTCTTGCTATAATAGCTCAAAAATAGATAAAGTAAAATGAAAATATTGCAAATTTCATTAAAATTACTTCATTCTGAGCCAAGTTATTACTGTTTGTAGTTTTGACAAGATATGTGCATAGTGGTGACCAGGTCACTGGTATATTCGGGATTAGCCTCGCTTTCCCATTTTTATAAAAATTTTAAATGGCAAACCGTTCTAATCTACTTAAAATCTTGAGTATCCGATGCCATCGAGAGCTGATTATGGTCTTGTTTTATTAATTAATGTCTAATTAATAAGTTAGATAACATTTCAGGCCTAAAGAAAGACCTGCAAAAGTCAGATTTAGCTCTTGCATAATGTATGTTTAATCGAAATTTTCTATACCAAGTAATTATAAATTGTGAGTCAAATGGTTTTCATACCTAGATAGACCAAATAAGTAGCGAGTGATGCTGGGACATTTTTAACCCTAATCCAGCTTTGCTGGGAGAGATTTTCACTAATTCACCCAAAGGTTTCATTTTGGATTTTGGACATGGCAGAGGACAATCAAATGACATAAACTATAAAGATGGAGGGAGTCATAAGATTATATCAAAAATTATTTTTTGTAGTCTGATATATATTGATGGATCTTACATTTCTTATTCAGAATCCTTGAAGAAGAGTTTGCTAAAAGAACTGAACTTGAAAAGCTAAAAGAAGAACAAGAAAAATTATTGGCACAAGAACGTAACCAGAGAGCTGGGTTAGAAAGCGAACGACAGAAACAAGAACAACTATTCCAAGATGCACAGAAACGTCTGATGGAACTTGAACAAGAAAGAAGTGATGCTGATAAACAGCTAAGTGTTAGTATCATAATATCTTAAAATCGCAATGCGTCATTAGAGCGCTATAGAAATCAATTGCAAACTACAATATTGTGAAAGTTGAATCTTTAATAGGAGCATCAGTCCAAAAATGGTTCAATACCATTCATTATTTACAAAGATAATGTTGAATTGAAATTTCATCGATCTATGTTGGGACATTATCTAGCATTGGTATTTTAATTTTTTTTTTCTTAATTAAATGTTAAATAATCAATTTGAGTACATATTATCGTGGATTAAGCACTTTGAAATTTGATATTTTTTTGCGAAAAATGCAAATGACACACTCTTGCTTTATATTACACGATAAGTGAGTCACAGAACTAGTATACAATTCTTCTATGATATTTTCTAATATATTATTTAATATATTAAATTACTTAATAAAAGTGAGTATAACATCCTCCAACAGCTATTAACCCGGGTACATATTAACAGGAATTAAGCCTAAAGAAATTCAATATTTTAGTGAAAAATGCAATTGACACATCGGTTTTTTGAATTACATTTTAAAAAAAAGTAAGTCACGGTACCATATATGATCCTTGAACAGCTATTAGCATGTGCATACACGAATTGAATGTGTGCATTATAAATCCACACTATTATTATTATTAGTGTTATTATTATTAACCCAGGCAGTATGAATTAATTTAAACCTAGGACTTTCCATTATCATATCATAAGCAAAACCTCCACAACAGCTAAATGTTACTGATATTTTAAGATATCCCATCCCATCTAGTAAAAAGTTACTTTGATTTGATAAAATGAAATACTTTGAGTAACTTGTAGTATTAATGACTTTTTCAAGTCTTTCTCAAATTCCAACTGTCAAGGGTTCTTTTACGTGCAGGCCAGCATGTATGTGGAATTTCGGTTTTATGTACCATCCGAAAAATTATAGACGCTGTTTCTTGCCAGGCCTTCTGTTCTGCACCACTGACAAGGTGAAACCAAACTGGAAAATCATGAATAGAGTTATAGTACCGATATTGAGATGGGCTCTGTCCTTCAGTTCCAGTTTAGTTTCCAGAGCTTTGCTCATAAACAATTAGAAATATGAAACTGTACACACATAAACCTAGGATAGTAGTTGCCCATTTGCTAATTGGAAATTTGTATTTCCATGGGAACAAATTTGAATTACTTTTTGGTATACCAAGGCTTGGGTTGTTGATCATTTATTTGTTTATGTTACAGGAAGCCATGGAAAAAATGAAGTTAGCCGAAGAAGAAAGATTTAAAATGGAGCATAAGTTGAAGTTAAGGGCCATCAATAATTCCATGGGTTTGTCTAGACCAACTTTTGCCTCTGATCCTAATCCATTTGTTACTCATCGAGGACGAGGAGCCTTCTCTGAATCAGATTTCTTGAAGGTGAAAAGTTCACCAGATGATAATGGAAATGTTTTTGATTAGATATAATTGTAGGGTTGTGGGGATGGGTTTTGTTGGGTTTTTTTTTTTTTTTTTTTTATCACAGTAGCGTTTTAAGCATAATATTACTATCCTCATGATAGAAAGAGAAAGAAATGTCACCATATTTTAAGACAATGCAGATCAAAGATAAGTTCTTGATTGTACCCTTAAAAAAACAATTTATATGGGTATAAATGATGACAAGAATAGCAATGACATGTTATTCTTTTCATCAGGGCAAATAAAAAAATATTCTGGTTTTTAGATAATTGCACGTCACTTAAAAAGAGCCACATGACCCGTTTATGGAGCCACGGTGGGTCAGTGAGTAAGATGTTGGCTCGCTAGCCTGGAGGTCTGGTCGATCCCTCGTTGGCCAGAAAGTTTATCAGGGATTTTCTGCCGTGGTTTCGTCTTGTCAGTCGTTTGGATAAGACAAAAAAAAACGCAGTCCTGTGCACACATTAGTGTGCACGTAAAAGATTCCTTTACAGTTAGAATTTGATATAAGAGTAGGCTGTAGTGCCGCTGTACAGGCCAAGTTTCCGCTCATCGCACAATGTATGACGTATGCCCGTCTTCATTAGCCCAGTTCAGAGCAGAACAGTAGGACGTTAAACTCTGTTTCATTTATGACCTGTTTATTAATTACCACATGTAAATATTTTCCCTAGATTACAAGAGGTAACTACATGTATATAAAACAACATTTGAATGAATCCGCAAATGTACAGTTTGCTAAGTTAGCAAATATGCATCCCTGATAAATGTTATGGACAATCATAAATCATACTGGGTAATCATACATTCCTATAAACAAAGTGATCGGATAAATGTAGTGTCTTGAAACATGATGTTTATGAGAAGTCATTTAGCCCAGTACATAAAAACGCAACAAAAAAAACCCTTCCTCCTGCATCACATTTTTAAGAAGGATTGTCTTGAGAACCAGAATATTTTTTTGGTATGGCCTTATCTATGACACCGAGCAATTCTTTCCTTAGTTATTAATCATAGAAGAAGATATTAATGCAAGCAAGAAATTTAATATGTTAATTGAGATCTATTGCCATTTATATGAATTTTAATGCTCATTTCTGGCATAAGTAATAACATTCAGTCAGATTTAAAACAGGCCCATCAATTTGGTTCACAGCAAATAAAGATGGCAGCATGGTTTTTATGTAGGGAGTAGCATAGGTTGATAGAATTTGCAATTTGTCGTAAATACTGAACGGAATTGAATCTTTATGGACTGGTATTCCTAATAGAGTTTCAACCTTCACAATATTATAGTTTTCAAGGAATTCTATAGTACTAAAATTAGCCCAGAGTTTTTAATTTAATTACCAAGGGCATTTCCTTCATCAAAAATGGTCATTTAATAATAAGATTATGCAACATTCTACAACTTTATTAAAAACTAAATAATAATTCAGTGGGAGTCATATCCCACCACACCATACTTGTCATAAGTATTATCTTTTGTTAAATCATAATTTATTGTAGTAATATTTAATGTAAAAATATTAGTTCCAAATAAGTTATTGTAGTTAGATGCCATTCTGTGCAAAAGAGACATTAAATAAAAAGCAATAAGATAAATGCATCTATCTTCATATTTTATTGTTTGTTTGCTTTGTGCAAATATATTTCAGATAAATTTGAATATGATTGATAAATTATTTAGATATATTTGTGCTTCTATGAATTTTGATTTTGTTTTTGTTTCTTAATTAAATGATAAAAAAATCAATCTGAGTACATATAATAGCTTGGATTATTAGCCGTGAGAAATTTGATATTTTAGCGAAAAATATAAATGATACACCGTTACTTTAAATTACACGAACTAATATACAATTCCTTTATGATATTGTCTAATATTTAGTATGCTTATATTAGATTGTGTGTGCAAAACTTAAGGTCAACATACTGATCCATTACAAAGAATAAGATGATGTATATGATTCTTCGGGGTACACACCTTGTACAGTATTATATGTTGCCCTATTCAAGTCTGTCATTCTTTGGGTTTTGGGTGGGTGAGTGGGTGGGGGATAATACTTGGAGTCAATTATTATGTTGATATGATATAGACTAAAGTTAACCACATGTATTTTCTTGGTTAAAATGATAATTCCACTACAATCCAGTATATCATAGCTAGTAGGTTATCTGTATACACCTACAAGGCAATATTTAATTTTATTTTATATACATTAATCACATTATCATGCTTCTGGTTAGACCAAGCTGTTTCACACACACACACATATTCTATAAATCATCACCTTCTGTTATCATGCATTTTTTTTTCTTCTTGTCAAAACAAAATATTGTTTCACTTTTTTGGAGCAATAACCATACAAAATGTTTATTCCAAATGATATCCTAGAAATTATGAGTATTAGTAAAATCTGTTCAAATCAATTGTAACTTGATGAATTTAGGAATGATGATTTAATACTGTGTGGTAACTATTGATACTGATTTTAATCTCATGCAGGAATCTCATCAAGTCCAAAAACTACTACTCTATCATTTTTCCAGCTACAACTCTTGTTTCTGTCAAAAATTATCTAAATAATGTAATCTTGTACATCAGTAAACAGTAGGAAATAATTCTATCAAAGTCTATCTAGATAATGTAATCTTCTAACAGATCAGTAAACATTCTAAATGATGTAATCAGTAGGAAATAATTCTATCAAAGTCTATCTAGATAATGTAATCTTCTAACAGATCAGTAAACATGTAAGAAATAAATTCTAAATGATGTAATCAGTAGGAAATAATTATATCAAAGTCTATCTAGATAATGTAATCTTCTAGCAGATCGGTAAGCCTATGTACAGTTCATGAAGCAACAGAAGACAACCTCATTTTTGGCAATTGAATTTTTCAAGCAGCTGCAGATCATATATATTTGTTAAAATAACAAATTAATTTTTTCTGACCAAAAACATTATAGCCTATTTTGAATATAAATTTTTTTATGCAGTTGTAATTCATATATTGTGTTATATAACAATTCACTTTTCTGACCATAAACATTATAATATGTCAGCCTAATATCATCATATTGTGTGTATTTTTTAAACTGTTTTTGTTTTTCATGTGCTATTGGATTTGTTATAATATGGTGGAAAATAAAAATTAGATTATGACTTTATGGTGTAAACTTTTGTTAAACATCAATGACAATCTGGTTAAAACACAGATCCTATTTCGTTTCGTTTTTTATAGTTCAAAATTTCGTTTTACTTGTCATTACTAAGGTAAACTAGGTTTTGGAAGCGTTGTTATATAACCCCATGTTCTGGTTGAGTGAGGGATTAGCTAATGAAACAGTCTGTATCCTACTAGAAACATCAACGCTGAATGGTTAATCAAATGTCTGACATCATAGGGTCAAAAGCTGCTCGTATAACCCCTGATGCGACCTCCCACTACAACAGGTCAAATCTTCATGTACTAGAGGCCATTGAAAGTATTATTAAACGAACCGAAATATAGATCTGTATTTTAATCAGATTGGTTAAACATCAAATTGGCCTTTTCAGTTTCACAACCATTCGTCTGGGCTTAACCGTTTTACATTGAACTACCAACTGGCCCGTGGTGTGCCGAGTTCACATAATTATCGTCTGCTATTTTCAGTCGACCTCTTAAAGATACATTATGGGAGGTTCGATAACAAGTTGGCAGTTCTCACTATAATAGTTAAAAACTAGATAATGTAAAGGCAATATGCTGAAAATTTCAGTCAAAATGATCCATAATGAACCGAGAACAAAGCCTTGATCATCATTACTAAAGTCAGTACAATAAACAGCATAGTCTCGATTATCCATTTAATCGTTAAATCATGAAGGAAAGTTATGCCATCTAGAGTTTATATATGGTCTGGATAGGTTAATTAATGTCTAATTAATAAAGAAAGACCTGCAATAGACAGATTTAGCTCTTGCATAATGTATGTTTAAGGGATGCAAAAAGTTTAAAAAATGTCTTGCATGCACTGGTTATTCTCTGGCAGGTGTGTGGGATTGTAGTAGGGTTAAGCCTGTGTGCATTAAATCACAAGGTCTGTAATTAGTCACATGGTCTGGTTTTGATCACAAGGAGTAGTGTCGCCTGCCCAACTTTATTGATTTTCTTCGAGTCCTCCCACTGCTAAAGACTCCTACGTCCAATTTAAAGCGAATTATTGAAATACAATTAAATCATATGGTAGTCCCTAAATCACCTAGTTTTTGTCGAGTGGATGTTAAACCCTGTTTCTCTCTCTCTCTTTCTATTCTCTGCTGTGCTCCAGTTATTATCTGACATGCACAATAATATCCAGTGAAGCTCCACGACAAAAGGAATGACATACGACAAAAAGGTCATACCCCAAGTAGCACAAAATATGCCAAAATGCTCTGTGTGAAAAAGCTTAATTTAATGTCCGCTTCCACCAAAGTTATATCGCAGACAATGCCAAAATATTTTGAGAAAAGCTGCGTAAGTTAAACATTCCCCATTTGTATTCACCCACATGGTCATGTGGACGTATATTGTAATCACCCTTTCAATCTGTCCACACTTTCTTGTCAGCACAATGGAGGCTACAGTTTTTATCAGATTTATATGAAATTTTCAGGAAACTTGTTATATGAAATGACAAGGATCACAATTTTCTGAGACTTTCGGGATGCTTGTATTACAATAAGACTCTGTTTTTCTTCTTCAAATTCGGATTAATGTTTTTAGAAATATATGCCCCTTTTTTGTTGAATACTGTCAACACGGCTTGTAAATGCTTGTCAGCAAGAGGGGGGTTGGATGGCTGAATGGTTAGCGTGCGCGCGCTGTATCATAAAGTCTGTCATTGAGTCAACTGGCGTGGTTTCGAATCCCCGGTTGTACGTGACAATAGCAGTAGGGTCGCCTGTCCAACCTCGTGGGTTTTCTCCGGGTCCTCCGGTTTCCTACCACTGCTAAAGACCCCTACGCGCAAGCGAATTAATGAAATAAAATTAACCATATGTTAGTCCCGAAATGACCTAGTTTGTGTTGAGTGGACGTTAAACCCCATTTCTCTCTCTCTCTTGTCAGCAAGACAGAGGTCAGTCGACGAGTTTCATCAAATTGTTTGGAAACGTTCTGGAAACATGCAGTCCTATTATAAGACCAGGTTCCCATTTTTTTCCCTGACAAAATCTGGTTAATGTTGCAGAAAACTGTACATATTTAGTATAAATGGGTACATGTACGCTGAAGCGTAAATTGAGTAAATTATGTAACAATAATTGTGCCCAGTCGAGTTAACAACATTGCTGTACTACGTCTGGTCCATAGATTTACCCAAAATAACTTTAATTACCCAAAACAATCTGTATTTTTTTTTATTTAAACTGCACTTTATCAGACAATTTTGGGGTTTTTTTTATATTGGACTCTTTGTGGTTATTAAGATCAGCATCATGGTAACATTTAAAAAAAAAATGATATAGGCCAAGAAATGCCATGGATTTAACAGAACTCAATAGGGAGAGAATTACTAGTATGGTCTGAGACCATAATCGCTACATGATAATAAGAGTTGTCTTTCTTGCTTTTATCTCCTCTCGTGAATATAATAGTAATCATGTATGCCTAAGCAAGACCACAAAAAAATATGATGTTTTAAGCAAAATACAGGTTGTTTTGGGTAATTAGGGTTTCACACTTCGTAGCTTGTGTGAAACACTATTGTTTTTGTTAAGATTATTAGGGTTTCACACTGCGTAGCTTGTATTGTTTTTGTTAAGATTATTCTTATTATTTATTTTTTTTTCCAATTTGATTGTATCTCAGAAACTACATGTCTTCGGTTTTATTGGGAAAGTGGGTGTGATTTAGAGATTAAAGCTATTTTGGGCATTCTGTGACAATGCGAAATGTCCGAAATCACCGAAGTTGTCAGGGTTTTTTGGGTTTTTTTTTAAAATGCCGTAGTATTAACATATGATGCATTTTGACATAGCCTGAGACCTATGGCGGGGTATCGGGTTCAAAATGCAATCTAGTGTAAAAAGCAGAAAGTCAACAGTAAAAAGTAGAAAATCTAAAGTAAACGCGAAAATTCTTATCTAAAAGGGTATTTTTATGGTGAAAACCTATAAATTTATGTACTTAGTCTGCAGAAACATCAAGCTTTTCAACTTTCATGACATAATTTCTACTTTCTATACTATTCAAAAAAAGTAGGGGATATTTGATTTTTAAGTGTTATTAAAGTCACCTAATGAAACTGACGAAGAAACAAATGACAAAATGAAATGAAGTTCACATTCATCGATTTATTCCAAATGATCGTTAGACTAAGTAAGGCACAGACTGACCATTATAAGGGTAAAATGATACCCGGGGTCAAACAGCAAAGTTACCACAGCATCACAACCAAGTCAGTAACGGGTAAATCCTCCTCTAGCTGTTTGCCAAACAAGCATTGATCCGACGTGGCATACTCCTAATGAGACGTCTAAGGTCATTTTGGTCCAGATTGTCCCATTCCTGTTGCAACCCAGCAGCAAGTTCTTGGACATTGGCAGGACGTTGTTGACGTTGTTGACGTTGACGTAACCTCTGTCCAAGCATGTCCCAGACATGCTCGATGGGGGAGAGGTCGGGACTCAGTACTGGCCAAGGTAATGTGGTGATGTTCTGTTGTTGGAGGTAACCTGTAACGATCCTGGCCCTGTGACATCTTGCGTTGTCATCCTGGAAGATGAAACGGCGGCCATGACGTCGTGCGAACGGCACAACATGGACTGCCAAGATGTTGTCCCGGTAGTACTGGCCTGTAACACGCCCTGCAACAACATGTAAAGCCGTTCTTCCAGCAACAGTGATGCCTCCCCACACCATAACAGAACCACCCCCAAATCGATCATGTCTGATGACGTTAACGTCTTGGAAGCGCTCGTTTCGACGACGCCACACCCTCCTACGTCTGTCCAAAAAATCAACAGTGAACCTTGACTCATCTGAAAACATCACATTGCTCCAGCGTCGATTATCCCAGTGTTGACGATCCCTACACCAACGACGTCTTGCCTGAATGTGATGATCTCTCAAACAAGGGATCACGCGAGGACGTCGGGCGCGAAGGTGACCCCTATGCAGTCGATTCCGAATCGTCTGGCCACTCACTCTCACACCAGTGTCTGTTTGAAGACGAGCGCTGATCTGATTTGCTGTGATGACACGATTTCTCAAGGCCAAGGTACGGATAAATCGATCCTGGGCTTGAGTTGTCGCCCTTGGTCGACCTGAGCGTGGTCTGTCCTGTACAGATTGTGTATCACGGTATCTGGACCATAGCCTGCCGATCTGTAGCATGCCAAGGGCACGTAACCTTTTATTTTGAGTAAGCCGACGCATATCAAAATTTGTTTTCTGGTCACTAAAACAATTAAACTGATGTTTCCACCCTGGAATTCAATGCCACAATGACTGTAACATTCAAAGTCAGAGTCGTGCAAATCTTGGGTTGGACCCCCATGATGATCCCAAGCATCACCTGCATGTTTCTTCTGTTAGGTTCTATAGTGACTTTTTTCGTAGTAATTTGCATATTTTAGTATTATGCCCCCAAAATCAAATATCCCTTACTTTTTTTGAATAGTATACTATCAACTTTTGACTTTCGACTATTCGCTTTCTACTTTCTACTGTTAACTTTTAACTCTCGACTTTCCACTTCAGATTATCTACTCACGATTTTCTAACGCAGATTTTCTCCAATACTATGGTGGCTGATAGTGGCCATGTAATTTTTCGCCATTTTCATAACCCGTCAACACGACATAACGACAGTATTAGTGGAAAGTCGAGAGTCAAAAGTTGTAAGTAGAAAGTAGAAAGCGGAAAGTCGAAAGTCAAAAGTTGATAGTAGAAATTATGCCCATGAAAGTTGAAAAGCTTGATGTTTCTGCAGACTAAGTACATAAATTTATAGGTTTTCACCATAAAAATACCCTTTTAGATAAGAATTTTCCCGTTTACTTTAGATTTTCTACTTTTTACTGTTGACTTTCTGCTTTTTACTGTTGACTTTCTGCTTTTTTACTGTTGACTTTCTGCTTTTTACTGTTGACTTTCTGCTTTTTACTCTAGATTGCATTTTGAACCCGATA